GAGTACTTCCAATGGCAAAATCTCGTGGCTTTGTTCCCTAAGTCACGAAATCCATGCTCTAACTTTCAGTTTTTAGTTTCACACTGAGAAATTACCCAGACTGGTCAACTCCATCAAAAATCTCCAGTACTGGATCTGTTCACTTTAGCATCAGTGTTTTAAAATCATTATTCTATTACATGTATTGTTTACTCTAAGTCACTTCAGATGAACTAATAAATGTTATTAGATAATTCCTGGGCTCTAATGCCTAAAGCAGAGTGGGCCGTACACTCCTCAGCTCTGCTAACACTTGGCTAATCAAATCCTGGGTCATAACTCCAATCACCACCAATGATGTCACCGGGTGACAAGACATTCCATGCAGACAGTCCTAGTAAAATTCTAATAGCACAACCTTCCACTCACAAAAAGTGGAGTGGATGCGCAATTCTATGTCTACTTACATACAGTATTATCAAGAGTGCTGTAAAAGCTAGCATGCACGCATGCCTTCACTCATTCCACCAACACCTACAAAACACCAAGTGCCAGGTCCCATGATAAGCTCCAATGCAAAATAGGACTTCAGTATAAAAATGATGTGTCTTAAAGAGCCATACATTCTTTGACTTATATGGGCTTATGTACCAGATCTAAGAAGACAAGAGAACAGCTAAGCATACTACAATTCCTTAAACAGATAATAAGTAACTAGATATATTAGACAAGTGTTAGAATATATAACGTTAACATTTTTTAACAAACAAAAATACTATTTTCTTGCACCATGAATATGAACTTGGAAAAATTATAGGGAAATGCTTCTTTTATAAGTAGGATATTCCATAACAAGAATAAAATCAGCAATACAGCTGTCTTTCACTTTTCTTTTTGACCTTTAAATAAAATAAAATTCACTTATTTTAATCTGATCAGTTTCCATTAATTCATTAATTAAGAAATCTCAACTTGTTTGGCTATGTTTTCTTCCCAACTAAAATTTAACTACAGGACTGGAGAGATGGCTCAGCAGTTAAGAGCACTGGCTGCTCTCACAGAAGACCAGGGCTCAAATAACAGCACCCACATGGTGGTTAACTGTATGTGACTCCAGTTCCAAGGGGTTTGGCGCCCTTTTCTGTTCTCTTCTAACATTGCATAACTTGGGTGTACTTACACACGGGCAGGCAATACACTCATACACATTTAAAAAATGCTAAAACAAAACAAAACAACAACAAAAAAAACCCCTTCACTATAAGGCAAATCAAAAGTAAGACCCAAACAGATATCAAAGGAACTTACTTAATACCCTTCCTTTCAAACACTTAACAAAGCAAAATCCCCTGACAAATTTAATGCAGCATGTTTCAAAGTCTAGTCTTAGAGCTAGAAGGAACTTAAGAAGGATGATAGAAACACCAGTAATGAAGGAGGCTTTAGCACTTCACTTCCTACTAGCTCCAATAATTAAAACTGTTAGTTCGGAAAGTTCCCCTCAGTTTATAAATCTTGATTCTGAGGTCCAGAAACTCCATGCAGTAAGAGTGTGAAAAATGAGTTTGAAAACCTACCATAACCAACTCAATATGCACTGCTAATTCATGTTTCCCCAACACCAAAAAGAAAGGTAATGCCTTTAAAGGATGCTATGAAGATATTAAATCAATTCATATTTTTTAAAAAAATCTAGTACAGCAGTTAATACATACTAACTGCTGCCTTTTTTTTTTTTTTAAATGATTGAGAGTTACATATTTGGTGAAAGACAGAGACAGGAATAAAACCAACATCTGGGGTCTCCTGAACCACTCAAAAGGAATCCAAGTACTTCTTACGTGGCCTCTATTCTTTCCTATTTTTTTTTTTTTGTTGTTTTTGGTTTTTGTTTTGATCTCTCTACACATATTCACTAGCCTTTTTGACCCATTCTCCTTGCCCATGTATTATTTGTATTTTCTATAAATTTTTGTCTTTATTCTGGTCTTAATGGCCTCTATCCTTGAATCATACCATAAAATACAGCTTTAATACTTGATCAGGGTGGGGGGTGGTCTTTAAAGTAAATGTTGAACACAAGTACAAGCTGTAAAGTCAATTACACTTTAGGATGAACAGACACATTTGTGAGAAGCACAGCTGTAAATAGGTCAAAAAATTTAATCAAGAAAATACAGAGGTGACCCTTTAAAAAAATATATACTTTGTCCCCAAAGACTGCCCTTCTGCACATAATGTAACAAATGAGAAGGGGGTTTTGTTGTTGTTTGGAGAGGACTGAGACAGGGTCTTGCTATGTAGCCTAGCCCGGCCTGGAACTCATAGCAAACCTCTGATCCAACCCTCTCACATCAGGATTACAGACCCGCACTACCATACCTGGCTGAATTCACAACTCATACTTCAAGAATGTTTGCAGCAAATACGTATCAAGTGTTTCTCATGTGAGGACCCTGAGGATATAACAAACATGAATCTGATTTTGACTCGCCCCTAAAAAACTACAAATAGGCAGACCTGCGAGAGGGACTTGAGACAATAATCATAGTACTGACTGCATAGTAAGTCTTTTGGGCCAATCTGGGGTGGCAAGTTACTTAATGCCACTCTACCTGAGAATAAAATGCCTACTGCATCTAGAATGGGTGTGTATCACACAGCATAATAAAAAAACTGTTAGAACTATGTTAATTCTAGTTTTGGTTGACACAAACTTCCTATGTGAACATGTTACTTAGCATCTTTAGGTCATATTCCTATCTGTAAAGTAGGAGAGTTCAAAAGGATACTCTCCATTTAAGCCCTTTGTGGCTCAAATACCATGATGTTATCAAGAAAACAGCAGTTTACAGGGGAGGGAGAAGGGAGGGCTATGCAGAGGGAGAGCAAGAAAAGGGAGATAAATAATGCTGAGGTGGTATGACAAACCAAAAGGAAATATAGTATTTAATAAGCCTACTGAAGAACACACATATAATATAAATGTGAATGCATGTGCAGCACTGAAGGCTATACAACAAAAACAATACCAGGTAAGCAGAAAACCCTCCCTTCCAGTTCTTGATCAGGATAGTCCCAAGAGATTCCCCAAATAATATGGGTTATTGCCACAGCCTTTGATTGCCACCCAGAACTTGAAAGAACTTATTGCTGAGCCAGGCGTGGTGGCGCATGCCTTTAGTCCCAGTGCTTGGGAGGCAGAGGCAGGCAGATCTCTGTGAGTTCCAGGCCAGCCCAGTCTACATAGCAAGTTCCAGGCCAGCTGGAGCTACAGGGAGACCCTGTCTCAAAAAAAGACCAAAAAAAAAAAAAAAAAAAACCTATTGCTGAAGACAAGACATACTTTGGACACAGAACTTGGAGCAATGGAGCTGGAACAGACTTGGAAGCCTCCTCCATGAAGACTAGCTCTCATAGTATCTGAAGAGACTACGCAAGCTATCAAGGGAGTAAACAATCAATGATCCTACCCAGTTGTAAAGTTGAACCACAATAGTGACCAAACCAGCAAATTATCTCTATTGGTGCAGTAGGGGCACTTTGGAGGCAATCAACAGTTTGTCTAATTGGACTTAAGGCTCGCTCAATGGGAAGGAAATCCTGTGTGGAACTATAAAACTAGCCAAGCACACATAGTTGGGGAGGTCATAGACCCCAGAAGTAGTTACTTCTGTCACTTTCCTAGACCAACATAATTTCTTACTATATTCTAAATATGTAACCTTATATTTACAGACAGTTGTACCTCTCACCATTCATCAAAGAAGCTTCTATCTGCAAGCGATGGAGATTATTACAAAGTTCCATAACTGGTCAAATAAAGTGAATAAGTGACTGTGAGGTGCCCAGACCTAAGTGACACATCCACAATGTAAACCCTATACCTAAGGCTCAGGGAACATCATGGAAGAAGAGGCCAAAAGATTCAAAGAGCCAGAGGGACTGTATTCTAGACATGATAGGGAGGCTGCACCTCCCTGTGAAATCATCACAGTATGGTAGTCTAACAGGATCTGCGTAATGATAAAACCAGTTGACATGCCAAGGTGGAAGGGGGAAATGTCAAAGGGTCCCACCTGAAGAAGAGCTAAAGGCAATCAGTGGATGCCAAGGGAGAATCAGTTTTCTCCAGGGACTAGTTCACGATGTGGTTATCTAATCCCAGGTGGTAAACCCTAAATACAGGTACACAAGAGAACCACTAAATGGACTCAGTGCATTATATAAATGTATGCATATTTATAAATGTCTATATAACAATAATAAAGAAGAGGACAAGAAATTGAAAGGGTGTGGGGGGACATGGGAGGAGCTGGAGGGGGAATGGGAAGGATGAAAATAATGCAAATACAACACTCGTGTAAAATTCTCAAAAATAATAGAAAGAAAACAGCTCATATGACTATTTTTGTGTACCTACTATGTGCCAAGCATTGCACTGAGGTGTACAAATTGCATTTCCTTCACTGCAGCTTCACAGTTGTTTCTTCTCTTCTGAGACAGGGTCTCCCTTAGCCCCAGCTGGCCTGGAACTCACTATGTAGACCAGGCTGGCCTTGAACTCACAGAGACCCGCCTGCCTCTGCCTCCTGAGTTCTGGGATTAAAGTTTTTGAATAGACATTACCCTATCTTGCAGATGAGAAAAAGAAGAACATATCAGAGTACCAGAGCCCGCGATTTGAACTGCAATAATCTGAACCAAGTTCCGGGGATACTCTCTACCTCTACGTCAAAATGCCTCTTTTTATCGACGGTCTTATGCCCTCTCAAAGAAAACAGAAAAATAAAAGCTTAATTCAGTAAAAGTGAGAGCTTGGAAGGGGTGTCGCTGCAGACCGGCCGACGGACGTGGCACGCCCGTTTGGATAGTATCAGGCTCTGGCACCCTTCCCCTCGTCGCTCGCGTGCTCGTTCGGCTCCGCGCCACCGCAGGGCGGACCACCGTGACTGCCGCACGCGGGCGGGTGAGGACCGGTACCGGAGGGGAGGCCCCGACAGAGCAACGCCCCGCGGTACCTGAGACACTGGCGGTCGCTGCCGGCTGGTTCTCCCACCACTCGTCTCCCAGATCGTCTGCCATCTCCGCGTGGGACTCGATTGGAGCCAAAAACCTGAAGGAAAAGACCTGCCTCAGAGCCGGCTGCCGCGACACGGCACGCGGACTAGCCCCCTGACCAGCCCCGGAACGCCGTCGCCTCCGCCCCGAGGCATGACGTCAAATAGCACCGCCCCCTAGCTCCGAATCCAGGGGCGCAGCAGTTTCCCCTCAGAGGGGGAGCACGGGATGCGTCTGAAAACAAAGTGAAGGCCTCAGGTCATAACGACGAGACGAGGCGTGGAGCCAAAAACTTATTTCATATCATTTGTCTTGATCCTTTCTTTTAGTATCTCTAAGTTTATTTTTTAAAGCCCAACGATGTGTCGAAAGTGCACGGTCCGATGCTAAGACGATTTTTCTCTGCTCAGTTTCAAAGAACTTGCGCCGCGGGAGAAGACCGGAGCACGTGGGTGTGTTTTTACTTGGTTGTCAGTGTTCGGGTGCTCAAGTGCTGGCACAGTTTGCTCTTGCAGACATGCGCGAGAGTTTATGACGGTGAATGTGGGGACTTTTGCAGATTTGGGAACTGCTGTTTTTATACAAGTAAAAGAAATGTGATTGGTCTGGAAGGGACGCAAGTGTCCTAGAAATTTAAGAGTTGCCTCCGGGATTACACACACACACAGACGCACACGTCTCACATCTGCTGGGTGCCATCTGTTGGGCCTGCTGAGAATTGTGGACATATTTTCCGGATGGTTCTCATACACTTAACAAAACGCGCAATGTGTCTGGCACTGTATGGAATACTGGTTTAAAGATGAGTAGAATTACATCTGATCCCAGATGCAATCAACTAAATTGGAGAAGTAGAACTTATAAGAATAAAGCCCTTCACCTTTAATAGAATACATCCTCAAAAAATGACAAAATAATCTGTTGAGGATAGAATTGAAAAATTGCCCAGCGCTCATACAACTAAATAGGACATTTAACAATGCATTAGTGGTGTAACTTTTGTCTATACACTGTAAATCACTTGAAGAGAAACATAGATGTAGCAAATGAAAAATTACCAGTGGTCAATGCAAGAAATGTTTTTCATGAAGAAATGTAGATAACAAGATATCTTGATTATGAATCTATAAATTATTGAAAACAAAGATTGAAAATAAAGTGTGAGCCGGGTATGGTGGCGCACGCCTTTAATTCCAGCACTGGGGAGGCAGAGGCAGGTGGAGTTCAAGGTCAGCCTGGTCTATATAGTTCCAGGCCAGCTGGTACTACAGGGAGACGCTGTCTCAAAAAAAAAAAAAAACAAAAGGAAAAAAAAGGGAAAAAAAATAAAATGGCCCAAAAAAAAAAAAAAAAACTAACGGAAGAAAGAGGGTAAGAAATTACTATGGCCAATAAACACGAAAAGATAGTTCCATTCTTAATCTAGGAAGAAAAAAAGTTCATGAGGCACTGTTTTCATGCTGTAAAGTGCCAAAATAATGAAGTCTGTCCAATTATAGTATGCGATTCGATGGGAATTTCCTCTCGCCTCTCTTCCTCTCCCTCTCCCTCTTCCCCTTCCCTTCCACCTCCCCCTCCGCCTCCCCCCGTCCCTTTTCCTCTCTCCCTCTCTCCCCCTTCCCTCTCTTTCTAACAACTCCCTGTAGCCCAGCTGGTGTGGAGCTCCCTATGTAGGTGAGGCTGAGGCTGGCCATGATACAGAGATCTGCCCTCCTCTGCCTCGCAAGTGCTGAGATTAAAGGTGTGGCCTCCACCATCCGGAAATTGTTACATATTACTAGCACTTGGAAAAACAATTTGTGTCAATCTTGTAAAAGAGCTATTCATGCAACTTATGAGCTGGTAATTCCACACTGAAGTATATGCGCTTGGGAAGTTCTGTTTATGTATACCTGGAAACTGAAAGAATTTTCATAACCATCACTATTAACAGCAAAACATTGTAAATAGCTAAATGTGCTTCTGTAGGAAAATAGCCAGGTGATGGTATAATCGCACAACTAAGCAGAGCACCTAATGAATACACAGTAACATATATATCTTGAAAGCAATGCTGATTTTCTAAAAAAAAATTTGTTACACTTTATGTGTGTGGCTGTATGTGGGTACACGCATGCCACAGTATGTGTTCATGAAGGTCAGAGGGTTACTGGAGGGAGTAAATATCCTACTTCCATCATGTGGGTCCCAGGGATTGAACTCAGGTTGCCAAGTTTCTTTACCCAGTGTGTCATCTTACCTAATGGCCCTAATGTTGAATTTTTAAAATGCTGAGTTCCAAATGCCAGTTTTGTAAAGCTTAAATAGAAGAGCAAAGAAAAAATATTGTTTAGGCAAAAACCCCAACTGTTCTTTTTAAAATTGTAAGATAAGTGATAGCAACAAAATTCAGGTTATGAATTGGAAAATTATGATAGGGAGATGGGATAATCCAGGTACTAAGATAAATAATAAATTCCTACATAGGTCCAATTGTAGGGTAAGGTGGAGGGTCCATATGTTTATGTTAAATCAATATAACAGGGCTAGAGAGATGGGTCAGCAGTTAAGAGTACTGACTGCTCTTGCAGAGGACCTGGGTTCTATTCCCACCACCTACATGGCAGCTACAAACCATCCTTAACTCCAGTTCCAGGGGAATCCGAAACCCTCTTCTGAACTCTGCGTCATTGCATGACACGGGTGCACTCTCATACTTGCAGGCAATACACTCATACACATAAAATAAAAATAATTAAAAATCAATATAACAGGTATATTATACATATTTTTGTGCTATCAATGTTTCTGTACATTTAAGGATAAAAGAGCCATCCAACTATGCAAGAAAGAAATTTCACAGAAAATTAAATTGAAAACTATTTGTCAATAACTCTAAAAATTCTTTTTTGATATTTTATTTATTATTCTTATTTTATGTGTGTGCATGTATTACTTACCTGCATGTGTATAAATACACCCATGTTGTGCAATGCCCATGCAGGTTAGAAGAGGGCGTCAGATCCCCTGAAACTGGAGTTACAGATGGTTGTTAGTCACCATATGGGTGCTGGGAATAGAACCCAAGTCTTATACAAGAGCAACCAGTGCTCTTAACCGCTCAGCCATCTCTCCAGCCCAACTCCCTAAGAATTCTAACTCATGGCCTGTCATCTCAAAGAATTTCTCAAGCTGGAAGGCAGTCCTGCTGCCTTTCCCATAAGAGTTCACATTCTTATAGAATTAGTCTTCCTCTTGTGCTCTTGAGTCCCAGTCTCACCTCCTTTCACCTAATCTTATCTGCCTCTCCTTTGGTATCCAAAGTGCCATTTACCCTGTGGCCTTCTCATTTGGTGCATTGGAACATCTGGTTGGATCTGTCTCCAGAACACATCCTCACCACTTCCACCACTATAATCTCAGTCTGGGATATCATCATCCTTCTTCTGGTCCAGAGTAATACAGCCTCTTCATCAGTCTCTCTGTTTCCTACCACAGTCTTGTTTTCATATGGCTGTCAGAAGCAATACCTTCTCTATTTAATCAGCTTTCATTATACTTTCTTGGGTATAATTCAGCACTGTAGCCTTTGGAACAAGAACAGAACTTGGCACAGAGTAGTCTCTCAAACTGTTGACAACCTGACTAAATGCACTTTTCCTTTACTTTTTGTTATTCACCAAGAAACCTGAGAAATTTGTTTCTGAAGTCAACTTTCTGTCTGACAACAGGTATCAGAGAACTAAGAACAGTAAGCTAAGGCCAGAGGCCAAATGCACTGTTTATTTTGGGGGGTGTAAATGATTTCTATATTTGAAAACAGGAAGAAATAGGGCAAACAAGCTAATTAGAAAGAAATATGCAATGGAGATTATACTTGGTCTTCATGTAGTATATTCACACATGCATACTTCATCTGCTTACTCTCTAGTTCTTCATAGAAAAAAAAAGTATATGGACTAAATTGTGTAACTTTGTTGCTGTAATAAAATACTATAACCAAAAGCAACTTAATAGAATTTATTTGGGCTTACAGTTCCAAAGGGAGAGTCTATACCAGGGTTGGAGGGAGGCATGACAGCAGATGGCCTGAGCAGGAAACTGAGAGCTTATATCTTAACCTCACAAAGGATGCAAAGAAAGCATGCTGGAAGTGGGACTAGTCTGTAAGCAATCAAAGCCCACTGACATACTTCCTCCAACAAGGATATACCTCCTAAATGACCCCCACTCCCAAACAGTGCCACCACCTAGGGACCAAGCATTCAAATACTTTGGGGACAGCTATTTAAACCACCAAAGTAACCAACCTAAATTGTAGCATCCATTTAACTGTTCTATTATCAATAAATTGGCATCTGGGTTTATAAATCAGTCTGCTATAAAATCCTGTACCCAGTGTCTGATCACTTCATCTAGAGGGAAGCTAAGGTTGAAACAACTTCTGAGCTTTCACCTGCTCTCTCTTCCTATATAGCATTTAAATAAGTATCATTAGAGTTTAGAGGAAAAAGCATTCACTTCCTAATGGTTTGAACAAGGCAGTCTTCATAAAAGAGGTGACAATTGAACTTTATGGCAAAAGTGGGTAGGATGAATGACAATTTCTTTGGAGAAAGATTGGATAAGTTATTTAATCTTGCTGGACTTTGTTCTGTGAGTCTGTAAAATAAAAGGAATAAATTTGACCATAGGGAACTATCCCAGGTCCATGCCTAAATCTCAGTATCATAACAAGAATTCTGAAAACTAATTTTTTATCACAGTCAAAGGACATGATGGAATTATTGTTTGGGGGAAGTTGTACTGGTGTTACTATTCATAACCACTAACAGATTTGAGCAGGATTTTCCATGTGGCATGGGTAAGCAAAGATGGTGGTTCCCTCAATCTTTATAACCAGCAGAGCCCCTGAACCAGTTGCCTCAGATCAAAGTAGTCTTATCACTACCTTATTACTCAGTCTTCATTTTAATGTTGTACAATAACCAACATTTCTAGGGATGCCAGCATGTGAAAAGTTTTGCACCTGACTTGCAAGAAGGAAAAGTGGTTTTGGACTGTTTAGGCACACCATAAATACAATGAAAAAGGTTTACTTAACACACAGGTTCGTAGCCCATGACCTCAGTCTATTAATAAAATTCAGGAAGCTCATGAGCCTTGATAATATATTATTTAAATGT